ACAGCAGCAAATTTAATGGATTCTTATTCTTTCTTTCTCTCACTTTCTCTTTATACATGCACATATATACACACAATTAACTTTCAAAAATTACATTTTTAAACAGTCCAGCAACCAAGAAGTTTTATTTGCCTGGTTATTAATGTCTAGCACCAAAGATAGGTTTTACCCTTTTTGTCCCTTAGGCAAGGCTAGACAACAAGTTCCTATGTTGAAGCTTGAAAATCAGTGTTATTTGAGACTGTAGCTTGAACTGTATTGAAAATGCTTTTTGGGCCAGCCCCAGTGGCCTAGTGCTTAAGTTTGGCGTGCTCTGCTGTGGCGGCCCGGGTTCAGTTCCCAGGCACGGACCCACACCACTCATCAGTGGCCATGCTGTAGTGGCGACCGTATACAAAACAGAGGAAGATTGGCAACAGGTGTTAGCTCAGGGCAAATCTTCCTTAGCAAAAAAAAAAATGCTTCTTAAGACACTGAAATTTGTCTGTCTTGGGAAGGCTGTTAAATCTCTCAAATTTAGTTTCTTATACTGGAACTAAATGTTCTTTTTGACATAGTTGTATCTCCCTCTGGTTTATTCTCAGGGTGTTCTCAGAGGTTTGTTCTCAGAGAAGGTTTTTGGAAAGTCAGTTGTCTTGATCCCCTTGTGCTTCTCTTCTTTTCTCTTAAAATAATAAAATAAAAACAATGGCCCTAAGGCTTTAAAATAAATATTTCCCACATTTTCCAACACATGTTATTTCTATTCATAATTCTTAACTAAACTTAGATTTTTATTAATCCAATGTGACCTAAAATTTCTGCATTAACAGCACAATGTGGAATTGGGCTTATTCTCTTTGGCTACAGATAAAGCCATCATCTTGAAAATGGCTCTTTCTGACAAAAAGGTGTTCTTTTGAAATAAAGTCTTATTCACTACATTCCTCTTAGAGTTAATGTGAATTTTAGTGCCTCTAATTTTAGATTGAAGTGAAGTCTAGAATAAAACCCACCAGCTGACAATTGAATTTATAGATAGTTGTGAATATTTCAGGCTTGAATAATAGAGCTGTAGAATTTCAGAGACAGAGAGGGAGAGAATTAAGACCCACTGTAGTTTTAGGGTATAATGTAATGATGTCTAGGAAGTGTTCAGTGTAATGGGCTAAGTAGTAATTAGGAGACAACTGTGTTCTTTCAGAGATTCTGTTTAGGCTTCATTCCAAGTGGAGAGGGTGACTCAACAGAGCAGACCTCCAGCCGGTGTGGTGGTCCCTTCTGCCCCTTTCTACTCATGGATGAACTGTGGATGTAATAGATCTGTGTGTGCCACCTCTACCCCTGCTTTCTTGGCTATTTTTAAAAAATCAGTGAACACCTTTAAAAACTCTCTATTGGGGGCTGGCTCAGTGACGTAGCAGTTAAGTTCATGTGCTTGGCTTCGGCAGCCGGTGGTCCGCAGGTTTGGATCCCGGGTGTGCACCTACGCACCGCTCATCAAGCCATGCTGTGGCAGCGTCCTATATAAAATAGAGGAAGATGGGCACGGATGTTAGCCCAGGGCCAGTCTTCCTCAGCATAAAAGAGGAGGATTGGCAACAGATGTTAGCTCAGGGCTAATCTTCCTCAAAACAAAGAAACAAACAAAAAACTCTCTATTGGCTTCAAGATATTTCTGCACTGGACTTTGGAGCCAGACCTGAGTTCAAATCCTGGCTCTTCCGCTTCCTGGCTGCATGACTTTCAGGAAATTGTGTGACGGCTGAGCTCTGTTTCCTAAAGAATAATACCTCCCGCACGGGGTGGTCGTGGGGATTAAATGAGGTAATATTTGTAAAGTGCTCAGGTCACAGCCTGGCACATAATAAGCACTTGATAAATGGTAACTCTGACTATTATTATTTCCACCGAGCAAAAGGTATTAATTAAGAAAGCAGTTGGTGTCTGCAAAGAAACATGTACAACCTGCAGCATAAATCCAGCTTGTTCACTGTCATTTACAGCTGCAGTCGCCACACCTTGTGTAGGAGAAGATACTGCCACTGTCCAAAGACTCCTTTGACAACTTGAACTTCCAGAATTTCCTTGCTTCCATCCAGGTTACTGCAAAGTGATAGACTAGGATTTTGGCTAAGACAGTTGGGTGGAGACTCTCAATTTTTCAGGGATTTAACCCAGTATATTTGACACATAAACATTTGGTGACTTAGCAAATAACTGTTCCATAAGTGGAGGGTTAATTTCTGACCTTGTTCCTTAATCAAGAATTCTGCGCGGGCTGGCCCAGTGGTGTAGCTGTTAAGTTCGCACACTCTGCTTCGCTGGCCTGGGGTTCGCCAGTTCGGATCCTGCGCGGACCTACTCGCCGCTCATCAAGCTATGCTGAGGTGGCATCCCACGCAGAAGAGCTACAACCCTACAACTACGATACACAACTATATACTGGGGCTTTGGGGAGAAAAAAGAATAAAGAGGAAAATTGGCAATAGATGTTAGCACAGGGCCAATCTTCCTCAAAAAACAAAAAAAAAAAAGAAAGAAAAGAGTTCTGTGCTAAGGTTTCCACTAGAGATGCAAGAAAAAAAGTGTCCTCGTGCTTTCTGTCTGTCTGATTGTGGCAGCCAAGATTGAATGCGGGAATATAGAGGAAAAACACGGAGAGAATTTTTGCAACTCAGAAATAACCTTGTAAACAGTGAAGAGCCTGTTTTACTCCAAGGAAAAATCTAAAATTTGAGTTAAAAATAAAAAAAGAAATCTGCAAATTTTAGAAGTCTATGAGAAAAAGCCTGAGGGGAAGAAAATTGGGATGAAATTGACCACAGATGATGCAAAAAAAGAGAGAGAAGAAAAGAGAGCCTGGAGAAAGCCTGGTGTTTTGTGATCAAGCAGCTCGCAGCCACTCTCTTCTGGAAGAAGAAAAAAAAGAAACAGTGCCTTGCAGGCAGATGGCGAAAGAGTTAATTGTCATAGCTGTGAGAAATTCAGTGCCCGAGAGAGGAAAGGGTAGCAACCATGTTTTAGTACCCTAATAACTTCTAACTCTCTTCTAAGATCATAATGTATGTGCGAGCAGTCCAGTAATTATAAGGTAATAAGTGAAGTGGTGGGGTAAGTGCTCTAAATTAAAAGGAATTCGCAAGGCTGCTGTAAGTCAGTGCCGACCCGCTTTCTTTCAAACGTTGACTTGAGGAAAAGTGCTTAGCCCAGAGTGCAAGCAGGGAGACAAGGAGAGCGATCTATTAATTACAACGCTCATTAACAGTGACGGGTACAAGGCAGCAGATGCAGACGGGAGAGGACGCCGTAGTTCAGGCTGGCGAGGGGGATACTTTTTTCTTTCACTAGTTCTTGGGGAAAGGACAGTACAAGTGATGGGCGAAAGCCAGAAGATATTTTTGTGGATTTCTCCCTCCTCTTTGCTTTCTCTACATCCTGATTCTGCTTTACTTGAGAAAGCAGAACAAAATTGCCAGTGTGCAGTAGATTGGTTAAGAGGCAAATTCTTGCTCTTGAGACTGCCTTCTTGGAACAGTTCAGCAAACATTCCTGATAGGAAATTCCATCTTTTTCTTCATTTTAAAGTAACAGACTGGTGGGGGGAGGGGGACCTGGAGGACAGCATGAAATTTGTGCAATGATAAAATATCATTAGATTTATAGTGAAAGAGGTAATTGCATCCCTTTGGTTATATTGTGACTACTCCCCCAAATTCTAGTGAATGACCATTACCCTGTGGGATTCCCATAAATCAACTTTCCACTGGGAAGCAATTATCTAAGTCCCTTTCTCAACTCTCACCTCTTCTTTCTATAGTGGGCTCTCAGAGGTTCTTAGAGACTTTACTAAAAGGGGTTTTGCACTGTGGCTAAGCGGAAAGAAAATAGGACCAATTATATCTTTTCATCTAATTACCTTTTCAGAAATTTGATCACTTATGGGTCCAACAAAGAAAGAGGGGCAGTATGTTTCTTCTAGATAAGAGAGAGAGTTTGTCAGATTAGATGCTTCATCATATTTGCTTTTAGGAAGTATGATGTTAAAAAACCAAAAGAAGGGAGAAAAAGGGACCATCACAAATCTCATTTTTTCAGGAGAAAGTATGACACATTCTTTACTTTGCTGAATGTAAAGTATCAGATTTATAGATGCGCAAGTATACAGAAGGCTCAGATGGCTTCTCCTGATTCATCTTTCAAACAATGGCAAAGCACACACACACAAACACACGCATATGTTTATTAATCATTGCTGGTGATCATTTCACTAACTTTTGTGGGCTGTAGGAAATCATCCTTAAATATTGGCTAGAATTTTATACTTGATGTCTTTCTATATTACTAAATGGCTATGAAATAGAGCAATTTAAATAAAGAAGCACAGTGATCGAGGATATATTCCCTATGTGTCTTCGTCAGATCAATAAAAGACACAGTTATGCTTATGGAAGCGTGCTGACAAACAGTAATTACAGAGCTGAGGAATCATCTGTTCAGTCTTGAAAGTAAAAGTTTGATTCTGCTCATCATAAAATGATTGCAGCTTCAGAATGTGGAAGGGAAAAGTAGAGTGAGGATAAATACAATTTTAGAAATAATACGGACTCTGCAAATCACTCCTCTTCCAGGGATAAATTTAGCATCTGGCGAGTAGATTTAGATATTGACATGTTTCTCCAGGAGAAAGGTAAAATAAAAGGAATTGGACTGTTAGAGCTTTTGTTTATGGCCTGTCTGGGCACTTTGATGTAACCCTGCCATGGCCTAATGCTGATTACCTTCTTGTAGAACAAGAGATATTGACTACGGAATGAATGATGTGTAATCCCCAGCTCTTAGGCAGCGCTCTCAAAGAGCGATGTTTTTAACATATGAATTCTTCTATTTTTTTTTTCTCCTTTCATCCTTCTCTTTCACTTTCTCTATTTTTTCGTCTTTTTGTTTCTACCTCTTTGGTCTTTGTGTTTGACACTCTTTCCTTCTCTTTCTCCCTCTCTTTGTATCTCCCTACATTTCAGGCTTCTCTGCAGAATGTCAAACAAAGATCGGCACATTGATTCCAGCTGTTCGTCCTTCATCAAGACGGAACCCTCCAGCCCGGCCTCCCTGACGGACAGCGTCAACCACCACAGCCCAGGTGGCTCCTCAGACGCCAGCGGGAGCTACAGTTCAACCATGAATGGCCATCAGAACGGACTGGACTCTCCACCTCTCTACCCTTCCGCTCCTATCCTAGGAGGCAGTGGGCCTGTCAGGAAACTGTATGATGACTGCTCCAGCACCATCGTTGAAGATCCCCAGACCAAGTGTGAATACATGCTCAACTCGATGCCCAAGAGACTGTGTTTAGTGTGTGGTGACATCGCTTCTGGGTACCACTATGGGGTAGCATCGTGTGAAGCCTGTAAGGCATTCTTCAAGAGGACGATTCAAGGTTAGTATTGGACCTGGGACTACCCTACCCTCTTCCAGCCTCACATGATGGTTGGTTGGTTTGTTTTCCTAGTCCTTATCCTTATTAGTCAAGTTTTGCCGTCTTAATTCTATCTTGAGTACAAAATAGAAATAGATTAAAATTGATAGTGGAGGATTCATAGAATCAACTCCCGCTGGATATACCCCTTATCAGTTAGTTCTGCTTTCACTGTGCTGTAATGATGGAATGATAGTAAGCTTTGGGTGGAGTTTAAAAGAGCACAGCTCCTATTAGAGTAATGTGGGTCTGCTTAGCAGCTGAACAAGTGCACACTGGATTAATAGTGCTTTTTCCCCTTCGGTTCTTCTTACAGACACATGAAAATAATAAATACTTCAGGCCAATGGTTCTGGAGAGCTTGTTCAAATGCAGATCACTGGGCCCCATCCCCAGATTTTCTGATTTGTTACACCTGGGGTGGCCCTAGAATTCATATTTCTAACAAATTCCCTGGTGGTGATGATGATGATGCTGGTCCAGGGACCACACTTTGAGAATCACTCCTCTAGACAAATTTAATTATCTGCTACCTTCCTTCTTTTCCTGTGGTTGGATATACTTTCCCCACTTTTTAATGACTTTGTGTGAAAAGTCTTCCAAATAATGCCAAATTATAAAATAGACCTCCAACATATATAAGATATACCCAAACCTTTATAAATCTCAAGATTTATGAATAGCAATATTATTTCCCATATAAGATATAGAAAAACATGAAAAATTTGCGTGTGCCTCTTTAAACTAGTAATCCATAAATATAGAACTCAGCTCTTTTCAAAAGCTATAGATATATATTCCCACAGAAAATTATGTTTCACTTTTTTAGATCCTTTGTGATACACTTTTGAGGAAAATAGGGGAAGGAAAGAATAATTGTTTATCGAGGATCCTCAGCACACCAGTGATTCTGTTCTGCTCAATGGTTTACAAAATGTGTCTTCTTAACAACCGGTTGTGGATACAAGTGTGTCTTCTCACTCATCAGTGGTTCTCAACCTTGCCAGCTCACTGGAATCACCTGGAGACTTTTAAAAAATACTGATGCCAGGGCTCATAGCCCAAAATTCTCAATTAGTTGGTCTTGGGTGTGGGTCTTGGGTACAAGGAGGGATTTTTGAAAGCTTCCTGGTTGATGCTGAATATAAAGCCAAGGTTAAGAACCACTGTGCTGTACTGGGCTGTGTTCTATAACAGGGCTTCTCAAAGTGTGGTCGCTGGACCATGAGTGTCAGCCTCATCTGGGAACTTGTTAGAAATGGAGATTCCCAGGCCTCATCCCAGACTGCCTCAGTCAGAACCTCTGGGGGTGGAGCCCCACCATCTGTGTTTCACTAAGCCCTCCAAGTCATTCTAACGCTCTCCCAAGTTTGAGAACCACCTCTTTATATACCATGGTGCTGCTGATTTACCACTGACAACTAACTGTTGTCATCTAATGGTCCCTTGTTGGACATAACTGAAATCAGTTGAATAACTTAGTGATATACTGATTTTTAAAGTGCAAAAGAGATTATGTTTGTTAAACTAATCGTTCTAAATATTTTAACAAAATCCTGAAACACTTATGTGCACAGAGAGTAATCTCCCATCCTTCCCTTTTGAGAGCATCTAGGAGGCCAAGTCGTCTTAATCAGTTGCACTGAAGATTTTAGTGACTGTCCTTAGTGGAATAGGTTGTACTGTCTCCCACTTGCTTTTGTGTTGTGTATTACATAGCTTCCTTGATGTGTGGCTGATGAATATGCAGTTAAAGAGTTTACTTAAAGTGCACAGTTTTTCAAGACATCATAACTCTTACATAATAGAGTGGCTATTTAAGGCTAACCTTTCCATGGCCTTTTATAGTTTTAACTGAAGAAGACAAGCCAAGTTAGTGTGAGTATGCATGAATTGCCTAAATGTTTTAATAGCTGTATCTTCATATTTTATGGATCCTAATTGCCATATTTTATTAGCATTTTCTTACAAAATCTTTCCTCCACTGGATCTATGCTTTTTGTTTCACCTATAAATGGAAGGCATTAATACTCACCTCATGGAATGCTTAGGGATAAAATAAAATGTAAAATCACATGTAAATCCTTTCACTTTGGGGCATCTGAAAAATCTCTTCAGCCTATTGACTAATATTGCAAAATTTGAGAGTGAACACACACTTCAGATCTTTTGAGTTCTTATCAGCCATTGTCCAACAGTATTAGAATACTTATGTTACAGAGTACCTAAAATTTAAACTGTTAGTAATTTGATTTTGTGAACTCAGTTTATACAGCTCTGAGTTTAACTACACAAAGATAAACAAATATTTTGGAATAAATTAACAAATGCTGTGTATGCTGATCTAAGCAAGAAGTTCTCAATATGAGAACCACTCCCATTCACTCAACAAGTATTTACTGAGAACCTACTGTGAGCCGGGCAGTCTGCTGCCTGGAGATTCATCTTATCAACATCTTTTTAAAGCTTTGCTCCCAAAGGTTTGTGAGTTGTGGTGAATTCCTCAGACAAATGTCTCCCGCCTTGAGGGAATACCAAATTTTTGGGGTAGGGTGGGGATTAAACTCCTTGGTCCTCAGTATGTTTTCTAAAGATAAAACAACAATGTGAAAAAATTTCCCGACAGATGTTTAAAAAAAATCATATAGCTTAGATATGAATAGCTATGCAATGGTTATTTATTTATTTACCTTTTTTATTGAGGTCATATTGGCTTTTAACATTGAGTAAATTTCAGGTGTACATTTTTATATTTCAGCTTCTGTATAGACTGCATTGTGTTCACCACCAGTAATCTAGTTTTTATCCATCACCATACACATGTGCCCCTTTACCCCTTTCACCCTCCCCACATGCGATGGTTATTTACTGAGCGATAATTGGAATAGAACAATTGGAATTCTATGCCTGATTCTTCCTTAGGATGCTGAAATGCTCCCAAAAGCTTAACAAAGCAAAGCACAGGGTGATTCCTGGCATTGATGTATAGTGCTCAGTTTTGCTCCATATTGGAGAAAGCAACTTTCAAGGATTTTGAGCAGGAGACAGAGATGTCACTGTCCAGATTAGCGCTCTGGACTGGCCCACCTGGCTGTGTTTGTAGCTGGCAGCTGGGCAGCACTCAGTAAGGGTACCCCGCTAGCCGCATCAGCGGGCGTCACACGGTGGTGCTTACTTAGCCCCCAAAAAGGCAGTGAGGCAAATAAAGGGATTAAATTGTGAAAGTCTAATGTAATAATTAGGTGCTTGTAAGGAAGACAGGAACAGTCCCTCCTTTCTGTGGCCAAATAGTGACAGCGATTGAACTCCAAAGATGTTCACAAAGATGTGGCTGGAAGAATCTGTTGTATCATCACAGATTCTTATTCTGATGTTGAAGGGACCATAGAATCCATTCTCATGCCTTGAGGCAGAATTGCAGCCAAACTATGACAGATAGTAGTCTCTCCCTTCCCTCCCTTAAAGCTCTCCAGGGAATGAGAAAGGACTTCGAAACTCCCCTTAAGAACACGTCTTCTACTGTCTCACAACCCTTCTGGCCACAACATTTATGAATGTGGATTATTCCTCACCAGGACCTGGTTCTGCTCTCATTCATGTGACGGAAGGACAATATTCATGGGAAATGTTGCCTCTTTAGAATCTTTATTTCTTGTGATAATAATTTATTTTTAAGATTGGTTATAAAATATGTAATAAATATAAATTTTAAAAGTTGGGCAAAATACTTCTTAAATTTAGAGCCAAAAGAACATACTTCCAGAACACAGCTTGAGAAAAGTAATGAGAATTGTTCTTTTCAAAGCTGAGTGTGGTATTCCAGTTGTGAAAGGCAATTAATCATAGATTTCAGTGAAAGTCAACCAGAAAGGCATATTTTCTTTATTGACTGTTTCCAGGTTATCATTGGAAACCTATGAATGAGGTTAGCACGTAGGTAAAAGTCAAGGTTTTTGTTTTGTTTTGTTTTGTTTTTCTGCTGACCAATTTTTTAGAGGACATTGAGAGTTCTACCCTATCATCCAGCAAGGTGACAGTGGCAGTGGTGATTTCATTGTAATTTTCTAGGTTTATTAATTTTTGTGTTTGTGATATCGTTATTTTGATTTTTTTCTAATTCTAGTTTTGGCCTCAATTCGTAAATGACTGGGGATTTTTTTTTTTTTTTTTTGGAGCTTCTCCTTAAGAGTTTTCCATGGACTCTGGCTAAGGAGACAATAGAAGGAAAATGTCTTTATACCCAAAAAAGGTCAAAAGATATTTCCTTATTTAATACGTAGAACACTAGCCCCCGAAGTTTTTATTTCTATATAAGAATATGGAAAATAAGCTTTATATTTTTTTATATGTATTTGTGTGGTTAATATAGCCGTTTCAACTGTTCATTCTAGGGCTAACAAGAAGCCATCCTTTATTCCCCCACTTTTAAAAATATGAGTTTTTTTTAGATATTTATTGTAGCCTGGATTTTGGATTCACATAAAACCACATCCAAATCTCAACCACTTACCAGCTGAGAGAGACCTTAACTTCCCTGCACCTCTCTTTCCCAGGTGGTGAGGGTTAAATGAGAGAATGTACTGGAAAGTGCCTGGTCCATAGTAAGTGCTCACTAAATTATTGACTTTGGTTGATATTGGCTATATGACTGGGACACTCAAGCACTGGGTGGTTCGAGTACTGTAGCACAAAGAGGTGTCCTTGGTGCTAAACTAGGATGCCTAACCTTTCTCAGCTCACAGCTGTGCACCTTTCTGCTGTGATAACGGACACTCTTTCCCCGTAGCCATTCCTCACGGAGGGTGCCCTTTTATACCAGGAGGCATTTAGGTGAGCTGACTGGAAAGTCCATTGGTTTTATGGTAATCAATTAACTTTTCGTTTGCTGTGACTGTGTATGGGAAACCGGGTAAATCAGAAAGGGAGCCGGGATTTTGGAACTTGCCTAAAACATCAGATTC